GATAATGCATTGTAGTTACTAGATTGTTTTTTGAAATTAGTAAAAAGAAACTTTTTAAAAAGCAGAATGGGTTGAATTTTCACCAATGCATGTCAAAAACTAAAGGTCATTGTCAAAATTATTTCTACCCAAAGGAAGGTCTTGTCACAAGGAATACATCTATGAAATATAAAAGCCCTAGTTTTAACTGTTCAAAAGTTATAGCCAAGGTTAAAGTTATTAAAATATGGGCCAAACTCTAAATCCAAGGTCAAAAATCTTCATACCCACTGAGAGGTCTTGTCCCAATGAATTGACGTCGGTCAAACTCTAACGTCATGAGACCAATTTGAGTATACTCAAAGAAAGATCTTGTCACAAGAAATACATCTGTCAAATATGAATGCGATAGCCCCATCAACTCAAAAGTAATGAGCAAGGTTCAGGTTTTTGAGTTGAAACAGACGAAAGACGGACAGGGCAAAAACTATCTATCCCCGAATCTTCGATTACTGGGACATAAAAAAGTTTACCAAATGATCTAGTTAAAATTAAAGGTATATGTTGAGATTTTATGATTAAAAACAACGACTAAATAATTATAAAACCCAGATATATCATATTGATTTTGAATATTCACATATCCATATTGTCTTTTAATTTTATCATCTAATTGATTGACACATTGTTCCTGGATTAAAATAGATTAATTAGAATACATCAACGATATTTTTTTTATTTATTAGGCACTATAATTATGGTTTTTCCAAATAAAATACGTGGCTTGTCTTAGATAAAACAGACAGCTGTTTTCATGTGAATAGATGGTCAAAAATGTTATGAATTGCTGCATTTTTCACTAAATTCAACACGTTTTAAAAGTTACATTTTATGCTGTATAATGAGTATTTTTTAGTAAAGTCTTTTTAAAACAAACAGAGGATTGTTCCCTTGCTGACAGTAAAAAAGTGTGCAATATAGGAAATTCTGATTATTTCAAGGTTAAGGAATGTAATCACTTGTTGACTTCTACAAAGAAGTTCATTATTTAACATACTGACTTGGAATTTCCTCTTCAGGGCATTTCGCAATTATATTGTATTGCTATCAATCAGATCAAATCAGTTAAATCTGGTTTTTCTAATCCCTCTATATAATGTTTAATATTTCTCTTACTAATAGTTTACTTCCAATATGCACAGGTATAAAGTATTTTCAGTTCTTTTATTTTCCGCGTCTGGTGTCTTAACTAGCCCTTTTGGTCGTGGATTGAACAATAACAATGGTAAGATATGTTTTTTTTTTGTATTTTTATTATATCGCCATATCATACAGTTTTATAATTAATAGCTGATTGTTTTTCCTCCCAAGTAATACCGTAATTCTAAATCATACCAAAACCAACATATTTTACTTCTCATCCGCGCATGCAAATAAAATTAGTTTTTGAATAATACATGTAGGTTTTTGTTATTTTTATTATGCGTCTAATTGCAGAATTACGGTAATGTGCGGAATAAAATGGTTTTGAGAACACGGGTGAAATCAGGAAATCTCTTCTTTTAGATTTAAAGCTGACAAAATGATAATTGTTTGAAAGAAGCAATTAAATTAAATGATGTTATTAAATTATTAATATGCTGGGGGTTTTTTTAATTCATAAAGGATTTTTACCTTTGTCGACCAACATTGAAGTACTTGTAGGCCCTCCACCAGAAACTGGTCCAGGAGAACCGGGTACTGTATTTATATTTTACAGCATATAGTTAAGGAACTTAGGAAAATGAAAATAAAATACATGTAATCATGCATAATTTAATTTTTTTTTCAAAAATCCCATCTACATGTATGATTAACAGAAACTCTCTCAAAAATTGTGAACTTGTGGTACATATATTTAAAATCTAATGAATGTTCAGTAACGAAAATTTTTCCACCTGTTGTAGAGTAGGATTTCCCTCATAGCCAGCTTTTCCTCCGGAAATCGTACTGTAGAGTAGGATTTCCCCCGATGTGAAATCTTACATCAGAGCCAATTTTCCCCTCTTTCTTTTTCAGAGTAGGATGCCCCCCTTCTTATAGAGCCAATATAAACCACAGCCGCAATATTTTTGTATAAAAGATTAACGACAAACTGATTTTTAAATGGTGATTGAGCGTTTTTCTACTTATGTAGTAAGAATTTTCTGAGCATAAATTTCAAATCATGGAGTCTTAAAACAAATAATTTTTTTTTTTAAATGCACATGTAAATATCCTCAGATTCAATGTTTTGGCAAAAATTAGCTCAGTATCTCCAATTCCGTAAAACATTAATGAAGCGGAATATTTATGCAAAATCAAACTTTAACTCATTAAGATACACGCCATACCAAAAATCAGGTCAAACCTCAAACATTTAGAAAGTGCGGAAAACCATTAGAGGCAAACAGAGGGAGAGCTCGACAGGCAGACAGAGATACGAAGAGTAAACCTAAAGTCCCCCTGGTTTCATTGATTTATTTAATCTAAAGAATGATTCAACTGTTGCTGAGAAAAATGAGATTTAAATATTTTCCTTTTATTTCTTCGTGTACGTATGTTCAATACATCTGATCACCATTTTAAAGAAGGGATACATGTAACAACAAACCGCCCTTCCCTCTTCAAAACATATGTACAGCAATTATATTTTAATGGGGGGTGAGGGGGGGTTAAATTGGCTCTGGGGGAAATTGCACTCTATAACTGCCTCATAGAGTAGGATCCTTCCCCGGAAAATTGACTCTGGTGTGGAATTTCCGCAGGGAAGATCCTGCTCTAAAGCCAGTTTTCCGGGGAGGAAATTCTTCTCTAGAGCCAGTTTTCCGGGGGGGGGGGGGGATTCTACTCTAGAGCCAGTTTTCTGGGGGAGGACATTCTACTCTAGAGTCAGTTTTCCGGGGGGAAGATTTTAGGGGGAAGGCCTACTTTATAAGACCGGTATCTCGTGATGTATAATTATTCGATAATCTTTGAATATACTGTCTATTCTTGTGCTGTATGTTAGAAATCTTGTGATGCATGTCCAATATTTTGCGATGTGTACCCGATAATGTTTTGATGCATAGCTGTATGTTTTGTATAATCTTTTGATGTTTGTGCAGTAATTGCCGGTCACAGTATTGACGGTTATATATGAAAGCCCTTTTGTTATTTATTCGGAAAATAAAATTTATCTCAAAATTACATAGATATCTCTCATTTTAGAGAGATATCCCTTAAAAATAGAGATATCTCCCAAATTAAAAAGATATATTATTTTAAAGATAAATCTCTCTGAGAAAGAGATATCTCTTAAACTTTAAAAAAATATCTCTTCTATTTTGTGAGGCATTTGTTTATCTAAGGGAGATATCTTTTCTACTTAAAGAGGTATCTCTTTCTCCTTCAGAAATATCTCTTTTCTGAAAAGAGATCTCTGAACGTTAAAGGGATATCTCTCTCACCTAGAGAAATATCTCTTTACTTTGAGAGATATCTTTCCAAGTAAAAGAGATACCTCTCAAAGTAAAAGAGATATATCTCTTAGTTTATCTTAAGTGAAAGCGGTACTTTTCGAAAGTGTTCAAAAGAGATATCTTTCAAGCAAAAAGAGATATTGTAAAGAGATATCTCGATTCATTATTTTATTTAAATATAGTACTTTCGACATATTCTACATTATAGCTTTATTAAAAATTTTATTAGTATTAGTAATAGTTTTCATAAGCTGAGAAAATTCGGTGCATTGCATTTGAGATTTTATGCTTACTTTTGTTTTCCTGAATATTAAACTTTTAGCATGTTTATCAACGAAGTTGTCATTACTATGCGTTGTTTCAAACTAGGGATTAGGGATTTATAGCATTTTGTCAACCTAGTACATGACTGAATTATTCTGGGTATGACATGCTCTATTTTCTCTGTCTCCCATTCGTGTGAAAGGGGAGAATAAATTATTTTATTTTAAGGATTACTGGAAAATGAGATATTTCTTTCATTAAAAGAGGTATCTCTTTAGCTTAAAAAGATATCTCTTTTTGAAAATCTCAGTATGAGATATCTCTCTAGCTAAGAAAGATATCTCTTTAAAACTTGTTAAAGATATATCTCTCTAACTTTAAGAGTTATCTATCTCGCTTAAAGAGTTATCTATCTCTTAAAGAGATATCTCTCTAGCTTATATAGATATCTCTCTTATTAAAAGAGATATCTCTCTTTTTAAAAGAGGTATCTTTTTTTTTAAAGAGTTATCTTTTTAAGGTATAAAGATATTTCTCTAAGGTATAAAGATATATCTCTAAGGTATAAAGATATCTTTTAGTCAAAGAGATATCTCTATAAGCTAAAGAGATATATCTTTTATTGAAAGAATTTTTTTATTTCACGAATAAATGGTAAATAGGCTTGCCTTAGAAATATGCACCTGTAGTAAGGAAAATTTTCATTGGTTAGAAATGAAGGAAAGTACTAATAAAAAAGTTTTATGGAGTTATATATGCAGAAATATTGAGAAAGACAAAAATGGATTATAAGAATGAATTCTGTCATTCTCGATGAAGCTCAGATTCGCGCATACGTTTGGGCTTATCAACTGTATATTAAGGATACGGTCCTTTATCCAACCTATACATACTGTACAGTGTAGCTGCATTCAATTAAATGATGCAGGGATGAATTTCTCAAATCACAGAATGTTTTCAATGTGCAGAGACATATTTATTACTCTGTTACTGTTACAAAAGAAACCTACTTTCACTTCAAAGAATAAAATGAAAAAAGTCCTCATAAAGCTTATATTTCTGTTTCTATTTGTGTTCTCTTTGAAAGTTAGTGGAGTTGATTTCTTGATAATTTTACTGGAATGTAAATTGGGCACTTTTCATCATCATTAATATGTACATAGATCATTAGCATAATACCCAGGAGCAAAGGTAAAGATTTTCAAAAAATTCTTGCATTTTCACTATATAATCATTAGAACCCCGCCCTAACACCAAAACACCTGACCCAGGGGCCCTTGAATTTACAATTTTAGAAGAGACAGTCTTTCTCATCATAAATATTTACATACTTCACTGATTTAATACCCAAGAGCAGAGTAAAGAATTTTAAGGAATTAATGTATTTTCACAATATAATCAATAGAGCCCCACCCAAACAACAGAACCCCTGATCCTGGGGTCATGGAATTCAAAATTTCGAAAGAGGCAACCTTATTCGATATAACTATGTACTTGGTTAGTTTATTTAATAACCAGGAGCAGAGAAGAAGATTTTTTAAGAATCAATGTATTTTCACTATATAATCAATAGAGCTCCACCCTCACCCCAGAAACCCTCACCCTGTGGCCATGAAATTCACAATTTTGGAAGAGGCAGCCTTCCTCATCATAGCTAAGTACATAGTTCATCACTGGTTAAATACCCATGAGCAGAGGAGAAGATTTTCAAGAAATAATTTCCCTATATAATCTATAAAGCCCCGCCCTAGTACCTATATAAGAACCCCTGACCCTGGGGCCATGAAATTCACAATTTTGAAAGAGGCAGCCTTATTTAACATAACTGGGATAATATTGGGAAGTTTATTTAATGCTCAGGAACAAATAATAAGACTTTCAAAGAAATAATTCATTTTCACTATATAATCTATATAAACCCGCCCTAGCACTAGAACCCCTGGCCCTGGGGCCATGAAATTTACAATTTTGGTAGAGGACTAAATGCTAATTCATGCCAACGGTTTGATTGCTTGATGTCCAGGAGTAAAGAAGAAGACTTTGAAAGATTGCATATAAATTTTAGTGGTTTTGGCCCCACCCCTTAGGCCCCAGGGGGCAGGAACCATGAAAATCACAATTTTTGTTCTCCTTTGCCCATCTGCTCTTTAGTATTAATCAACCATTTATGATGAAACAAAATTTATGAAAAAATTTCCAAAATATTAAAATATGTGGCCTCAGGGTCTGTGGTTCCTGCATGTGGGGTGCACAACTGGTTATAAAGTGGAAATGCATTTTCTCTTTGTTACTCTGATCAGCCTGTGGGTATTAAGTAACCAAAGTAAGTAAGCTAAGTGTAAAGTTATGATAAGCAATGGTGTCTCTTTCAAAATTGTGAATTTTATGGTCTTTGGTTTAAAACACGAAGGAATTCAATTGTTGAAAACTTGTTACATGATACTCAGGTGACCTATAAGGCCCGTTGGCCTCTTGGTTTAATTTGAAAATGCATCACAAGATTTTGAGTATACATCACATTGTTATCGAATAAAGCAACGTTTACATGCCACAGACAAAAACAGAATTGTATCATTGCCGTTATTTTGCATCATTTTGTTCGTTAATAGTACATTTTTATATCTTTTTTATTCAAAATCTATCATTCATATTGTAAAAAAATCGTTTCTATTACCAATTTTTCAGGTATTGCCCAAGCTACTAAGTGCTTAATAAAATGCGAGGCTACGCCACCCAACATTGCAGCAGTGGAAACACAACACTCGCCAGTCAACTTTGCAGCAATGGAAACACAACAATCTACAGAAACCAGGGGAAAAACTGTTAACCCCGCGTCATTTATAATAGGTTTTCCAAGATAATGATTCAAAGTTTTACTGACGATTAAATAGTAACAGTGGTAATTTACAGTTCTGCAATATATAGTTAAGTACATATTTCTCACAAGAAACATATTTTGCCTGGAATTCGTGAAAATAGTTATATTAGTCGTTTGAAATACATGTGCTTCACCTACCTCGTGTTTGCTTTGTGAATAGGTCAAAATAAATAAAAAGTTTCATTTTAATAAAAAAAGACATTGAAACTGGTATCTGTTTTAATTGATTGCAAAAGACAGCGATCAACGAACATAGATATAAGAAATAGAAAAACACATTTTTCTTTCCATATATGTGCCTACAAACACATTGTGCAAGGGTGGTCAATATAATTGATATAAAAATCAATGGTTGATATATTAGATATAAGTAGAAAGAGTGCTAATCGGCAGAGACAGAAGAAAATGATTAGAATGCATGCTGTCTAACCATGTGAAAATTATGCTTCATTCAGATTGAAGAACACCTGCTACTTTTGGCTGAAACTGAACTTTTTTCTGTAAATGACAGCATTTTTTTCTTCTTCTTCTGGAGACATGTTAACTTTTCGTGATTCATTGGAACTGAATCTTCTTTTGTATTCTCTGATTGGATTAACCATCATTGGAATAACAATATTCATAACTTTCGTACGCTTTTTGGCCGATCTGAAGTGCAGAAAGTTTGTCGGCGACGTCACTATATGGTTTGTTTGACTAATATTTGGAATAACACCTGTTTTGGATATCTAATTCAGACGTCGTAATTAATACACATAATTTGAAAAAATCCATTGACTAGTCCATAGTAATGCATTACGACTATTGTGAATTACAATCAATCAAGACCTTCACAATGATGTGATTTGCCATATCGGAGGAGAATGAATTGATAAATTTGCCTTACAAATAATTAATATATGTAAAAACAGATATTAATTGAACAAACAGAAATGTACTGTGACTTTATATCTAAGATATACCGGTATACATAATACATTTTCCCGTTGTTGATTTTTAAAGTCATGTTTTAGTGAAGATGATACAACTGTACAAAGGTATAAAATGTTCACGAGTCCCTTCTAGATTCGCCATACACTGTCAGAATAATTCAAAGGTTTCCATTGGGCGTTATTTATTTTGTGATTATATGATTAAAACAAGGTGCTTTACTCAAACTGGCAAATAAAAATGTTGAAAATAACAAACACTGATCGGTCTCAAATTATATATGATACAACTGAAACAATACAAATCTTTAAACAGAGCATCAGACTAAAGACTTCTGAAAATTCGAAAGGTTGGATCAGGTCACAAGGAGAAGTAAGTATCCCCTGTCGACTGGTCCTACTCGCCTCAAAGCTTATATATTAACAAAGGTAATAGAATAATTCGTAGTCACATTTTTGAAATGGCGGGACTAGCAATTCGATATATATGAAACACTTCTAATAGATTAAAATACGACCCAATGAAAGGTTACATTTCCAATTAAACATTATGACAAACATAGAATTTATAAAATGATGACTTTTTAAGCGAGGTTGTTGAAATTCCTGTACCATCAACTTATTGGTCAGTAGTCTGTCCCATTTAAATTTAAATGGACATGGATGATGGAAATTATTGTTTAGGGGTTTTTTTATTTTTATTTATTTATTTATTTTTTTTTTTTTTTTTTTTTTTTTTTTTTTGCAACATATAAAATTGATAAAAAAGTAAATATTATAAAATTTCTGCATCTACATGTATTTAAATACACTTTTTATTCTGTTAAAAGTACACTTACCATTTTTAAAACAATCCAAATCCAGTGGTAATACAATAACACAGAATACTGAAGGAAAATGAAACACCAAAGCAGTAAAGTAAAATGTTAATTCAATTTCTAAACAGTCAACGACAGGCTACAGAATACTTTTGAAATTTAATGAATTCGGTTTCAAGGAAATTAATTATATCTTCACGAAATGCAGTGAACCGAGATGTGGTACCTGTAGTTACACAAATTGCGAAGGGAACCAACTGCAATTTCCAGAAACTTTACCATGATCCCAAATCTAAAAAGTAATTAGTTTCAATATCAATGTTTACAATTTATATACTTAAGACTAGCGTTTGCCATTCAAAATAAGATATTTTTGTATACTACTTTGGTGATTTCATATTTCTTTTGTATTATGTACGTCCAAGGATTTGTTATAATATTTTCTGTAAGATCTCATATACTCTTCAGTATTTATACTTCGGTTCATGTTACAATGAATCCAAACCAAACCAAAAGAGCAATACTTTAGAACCTTGAAAGAAGAGCTTGCAATATACACTAGTGTACTTAGTTAGAAAAATACTCAGAAAAATATGTCAAGTAGCGTTGAAAATCTCCAATATAAAATATTATTACGTAAATACAGTACTCTACCCAATTATTCAATAAAACGTGTGGATGTGGTGTGAAATGGTTCTGATATTTGACACAGCACAATTGCATAAGGAACGTGAACACCAACTTGAAGAAGAAGAAGAGGCCATTCCCTTTGTTCATACCCATAACTCACGTAATAAAAAAATTCAGTTCAAGTGGTAAGACAATAACAAAGAGTACGAAAGGAAAATGAAAACACTAAAGCAGTAAAGTGAAATGTTATTTCAATTTCTAAACAGCCTACGACAGCATACTTTGGAGATTTAATAAATTCGATTTCAAGGAAATGAATTATACCTTCACGAAATGCAGCAGTGACCCGAGATGTGGTATCTGAAGCTACACTAATGCGAAGGGAACCAATTGCAATTTCCAGAAACTTTACTATGATCCCAGATCTAGAAATTTTCAATATCAATGTTTACAATTTATATACTTCCTTGTCATACTAATTTCAAGTTACTAAACGTAACCTGTACGTAAACACATAATCATCAATGATCATAAATGTCACTGAAGTTCAAATTATATTTTACACCTTAAGGAATGTCCAATTCAATTTAGAATTGAATCATTGACATTTCAACAGAAAATGTCCAATAAACACAAAATGGTCCCACCACATAGACAATGACCATATCATTGCTTACTACATGTAGTCCAATCGCAAGGGTGTTGCAAATACATATCCTTTCAGTGTTAGCATAGGTTTATGGAAGAGAAAGAAGTAAATTTTAGGGAAGGGTGGGTGAAATTTTACAAGATTGAGCTTTTTTCGGTAGGTTGTGTAAGAAAACTGGTTTCATTAGGTCTTGGATTATTAGTGGCATCTATTTATGTAAAAAAATGTTTTACAACTACAAAGAACGCCCTTGCATTGGTATTAAAAGCATTTATCACAATAAAGTGAAAAACAAAGGAAGATAACTTATTTTTGCAATCATTTTAGACAACTAAAATAAAAGATCTAAATATCTAATGAATTGATAGGAGACAATCACAGGCACTTGTTTCCCTAATAATTTTTTTAACCCATAGTACATAGTATAACTGTATTATAACGAGAGGTTAAGAAAATTATTGCCGAACCAAGTGCCTATAGAATATACAAACGTATAGAAATACATTTTTTTCTGAAGAAATTATGTGCATTCAATGTATGTAAAGAATGGCTACATCAATGGTAACTAGGTGTTAATTTGACAGGGTCGATAGAAAGTGAGTAAAATCGTTTGCTGTTAGATAATTACGCGAAAATCATGCTTCATGGTGGCTGATCACCTTTTTTTTGTCTGAAACACAGGCACTTGTTTCTTGATGTATGTCTCTTGGTTTTAACAAAATCTTTAAAAAAATCTGACTTTCTTTAATAAATTTTAACTCATGGTACATTATAAAACGTGTTATTCCTATATTTTGGGTTAAAAATTCATTATAGAGAGTCAGAAACAAGTGTTTGTGGTCTTTAAGTGTAAATTCTGCTGTTGATTTTATTTTGAGTTTTTTTTTCTATTTTAAAGAATGTTAACTTTTCATGATCCATTGGAAGTGAACCTTCTTTTGTATCTCCAGATAAAATGTTCCATCATCAGATTATTGTTGTTATGATTTTATTTCTAAATTAACTTTCATCCACTTTCTGACGGATCTTACGTATAGTAAGGTTGCTGTTGATGTCATGTTCAGGCTCCGGGATCATGAAACTGTCTTAAGTCTTAAGTCAGACTTAACTCCAAAAATTTGCACTTAAAATTTAAGATTGATCTTAAAGTGGATCACAAAAAATTGACTTAGAATTAAGACTGGAATTTTGTCTTAAATTTTAAGACTGCTTATAGGCAATCTTAAGTTTTTAAGATTGATCTTAAGTCTGTTTTCAATGTAAGCAGACGATAAAGTTTTGTACCTTCACGCATTGAAGAGTTCCTCGCAGTCGTGGATCTAAGTTTTGTGCGAAGTGGTGTGGCGCCATGTCCCTTCAAACGTGGTACAGTACACACTACACAATGTATTAATTTTTATAAACATGATAAAGAGACATTTATTTATCTCTGACTATAAAAATGGCTTTTCTACCTTCATACTGAAGAGTTCCTCGTTACTATGACAAATAAGATTTTATGGTAAGTTTTTTGCTAAGTCAAATCTTAACTAAGTTTTTGCTAAGATCGTTTTGTGATCCACTTAAGTACGCGATCTTAGCTAAGTCTAAATTTTAAAATTAAGACAAAATTCTGACTTAAATTTAAGACAGTTTCATGATCCCGGAGCCAGGTTTGATCTGTGGAATATCACCTGTTGTGGACATCTAATAAAGACCTACTAATCCAGATAAATGAAAAAAAAATGCTGATGCTTAGAACATATCTATTGTGAATAACCAACACAGACCTTCAAATGATGGAAAACCTTAAAAAGGTCTTTTCAATTAAACTATTTTAATTTTCAAAATAATGTATATCAAAATTACTGAAGTATAACAAAAATTAAAAGCAATTTAACACCAAAATGTACGGGCTAGCAACTTGTGATTTATGCTGATCAATCAAAATTCATTACTTATAAATCATTTTGTTTTGTTTATTTGTATTATGTTTAATGTCCCTCTCCAGAATTTTTCCCATTTATGGAGACATGCCTCATGTAAAAGTGTTAGGCCTTAGAAAATCACTAATGATGTCCCTTTTTTCTCCACATGTTCAGATGCTCCACAAAATAAAATGGAAATGTGTAGCAACTCACTACTTCTTCAATGGCACAATCAAGTCCTTACAAACCTTGATTTAAAATTTTTCTTTTTAAAAAATTGACTTTTAAAAAGTTGACTTTAAAATAATAAGTGATATTAAAGTTTGTTTAGATTACATAATGACACATCTTACATTTCTGCTTATAACATGAAACTTTGATAAAATTGTCATTTATAGACATTTCTATATTGAGTACTATTTTAAGACTCAAAAAATAATTGACTTCAAGTATTGTATATGATGGAACCATGCAAAAAATTATATACACAAAATCAAACTCCCGGTACTGATTGTGTACAAACACTACATGTATTCAACACAATTTATATATACATGTACATAAATCTACAAGAGACTGACCATTAAACTATAAGACTGGACAAAAATTTAAACTTTTTTTATTTAACAGTCTAGGAATTGATATGTTTTTCGCTCTGATGCATATATTAAGCTACAGAGTGATGGTCACAGTCATTCATTCATGGGCTCGATTTCACCTGAGGTATCTTCCTCCTGCTCCCCCTCCGTCGGGTTATATTTAGCTATGATCTCTAACAAGCCATAGATTTGCTCCTCTGTGAGCCGTTCCTCACTCTCCTCCACAATTAACTGAATTTCTACCGCCGTTGTGGGGCACAAATTCAAAATCTGCAACTTTTCAGCCCTAGTTAAACTGTAAGGCTCTAGTTCTTTCATGAATTCAGTGATGTTTTCCTGGGTTTGGTTTTTACATGGTTTTGTTTCTAGATACTTGATTGTCTCATATGTTATTGTAGCTAGCTGCTGCTGTTGCTTGTTTGGTTTGTTTTGGCCTCTCCCTGCCTGTATGTCTGTCAGTAAGCTATACACTTCAAAGTTACTCAGCATAGCTGAATTTTCTCGGACCACTTCCATAGTGTGAATTTATGAGGTAGGGTAGTCCTTGTTGAGTTGTTTCACTGCTGCATATCTTCCAGCTACAATTGCGTATACCCAAGACAGAAGAACAATCACCAACAACAGCTGAAACAAAAATAAAAATTATTAGAATGCTATTTTAAACAATATGGTGCAATATTTCCTCAACATTTATAGTTTCAGCCTATTCTAAATGGCCATAAACTGAAAAAGACTTTAATCTTATTAAAATTACTTGAAATTGCTTGCATATCAATATGCCATTTCATGACCATGATGACTCACCTGTTCATTTAAAAAAAAAAATCAAGATTTTTCCTTATATATTACTGTGTGTAAAACTTTTGTCTTTAACCCAACCCAACCCCTAGGATATTGAATCTGGTACTAGTAATTCCTTTATTTTGATTACCTGTACCCTACATAGGATATTTTGAATCACTGCATTTTTTCAATAATATGTGTGAATTAACAGTAAATAAAAAGAAATCATTCAATTAATTTCAGAACAAATCTAAACCTACATAAGTATTCAATCCTTCTTAACACCATCTGACCTAAATTAGACAGACAGGGGTAGAATTTACTTTAACAGTCCCACATTTGTTTTATTTTTTAGCTGTTTTGTTATTTCATGCTACATTAAAGAAATGCAAATCATATACTATGTAAACTGACGTCACAGTATTGTCTCAAGCAATTTAAAGAGTTAGGCCAAATGGTATTTTGAGGGGGAGGGGGGGTCGAATTTACAAGTGTGCGCTTTCTGTCAGTTGCATCATCAATGTTTTAAAATCTTCATGTAAATTTGATCATGATATACAATTTTTTTTTCAAAATAAGTAATTAGAAAAATTGTAGATTATATGCTGTTCCTGAAGACTCTATGCGCATGTGACATTGGATAATTGGACCTGGAAAGATATAACAAACCTCCACCCATGTGATAAAGACAAACTTAAAAGATAAATAAAATAAAATCAAAGCAATCTAGAATAACAGTACATTGCTTGTTTTGAATATTATTAATATGGTAGTATTCACATCAATGTAAATACTCAAATTAAGGATTTTTTCTTGATTGCTACTTGGGTAAATAACAAGAAGCAAGTTGCAACTTGACAATAACAACAACATGATTTCCATTAGAGCTCAAACGCGTTTGTTCGTCGTCCATTTAAAGTGGTAAATCTCAGTAAATATTTTTTTAAATTTCAAAATTGAAGAAGATAACGAGACAAGGTACTTACAAAATTTAAGATGACTGAAACAGTCTTCTTGCTCACGATGTACATTTTATTTACGCACTGGATGATTTTCGATCCCGATCATATTTGCTCAAGATTTCACTAAAACCCCAAAAATAGTGGAGTGACCATGCAGGTCCATTTTTAAGTGGAACCTCTGTATGGACAAAAAGTTACCCACTGCAATCAAATTATCAAATTTCAAATTCCACTACTTAGAATTAGAATATTACAATTTTAAAAATAAAAAATATATAAAAAGTAAAAATTAAATAGAATCATTTTGACAGTAAATATACAAATTATAATTACGTTCTTTTTATTGTTTTTCAGTAAAAACTAAAAGCAAGTATTAAATAAATGTATTTTCAGATGCTCAATATCAAAGAAAAAGATATAGAAGGTACAAAGTAAAAAAAAATTAGATTGGGCATTGCTTAATAATTGATATCATAAAAATTTAATGTCCAGAATAATTTTAACACACTCATGTCTACACTGACATAAAATCAATATACCAAAAGATGCAACAATAACAACAACAAAACATCTCATTTCAATATTAATCATGATTAATTAAATGCTGGGGTGCAGCTCGACATGTTGGTTTACACTCCAGCCTGCACTATAATCATTAATGGACAAGTACGACAAGGTTTGTCAGTAGTGCAGAATATTCTTGCTAAGGTCAAGAGGTCAAGGTTTGCCAATTTATATCTTTATGAACGTGATTCTCGTGTTCTCTCTCTCTCTCTTTCTCTCTCTCTCTCTCTTACAGATACATTGCGCAAAAATGAAATGTTATAGATATTTATACTGTATGAAATTATTAATAACACAAGAAAACAAAGACAGTTTAGTACGTAACACTTTGGTAAGTTTGCCATACTTTTTTACAAAATAATGATAAAAATTATTTTGTTAATATTCTGCTATGCATGTACACTGCTTGGTCTACAAGTCTCAGCTATTCATGCAAAAAGTAAAATAAAAAAAATGGACCCGGGGTTAATTTTTGGGTAAAATCAACACAAATCATTACACTATATGGTGTTATTTTTACTTAAAAATAAAAGAAAACTAGACATATAATTTTTTGGGGGTTTTTTTTCACATCAAGAGATCTGGATCCGAGTAAGTAAAAATTTTGATTTTTTGTGTAAAATTGGGTCAAAAGCCAAGGTAAAGGTCAAAATGTCAAATTTAGTGGTACCCAAAGAAACTTCTTGTCACAAGGAATACACATATGTGAAATATGAAAGTCATAGCTCCACTAAATCAAAAGTCAGGGGCAAGGTTTAAGTTTTTGTGACGGACGGACGGACACGGTCACAGACTGACAGACGAACGAACGGACAGACAAATGAGATTTTATGTCCCTTCACTTGTGCGAAAGCGGGGGACAAAAATGAAAAGGGGCGGGGTCTATTTCCCAAGTGCTAGCTGCAATAATGTAGCCCTCTCCCACTTTTTTTTTCCAGAAAGCATCAGATAAAAAAAATCGGAGAGGGCTACATTATTGCATCTAGGACCACAAAACATCCGATAAAATTAAAAAATCGGAGAGTGCTACATTATTGCAGCTAGGAAACAGTAACTTAATTTACCTTCTTTAAAATTATAATAAATCTATAGGAAAAATATATATTAAATATGAATATAATGATTTTAAAAAAATATATACATATATGAAATATAAGTATAATGATTTTAAAAAATTGTTCAATATATATCATATATGTTCATGTCACACTTGATTGTATCCTGATGGTTAAAAAATGAAATTCGGAATAAAATATTTTGACATGATAGACTTGACGTTTAGTTTCCACTTTAATACTTCCTGCTATTATTTAGAAATTAGAAAAAGACACGTAATTACGGTAATAGAATCAATGAATGGATGATTTGGTGATATAAACAAGAAAATAAAATATGGATGGCCAAACAGATGATGGAGTTGACATCAACGTTGTTGAGGATGAAGGTTTTGTTCCCAAAAATGAAGATCCGGAATTTGTTACTGGAATTTTCAACACTGGTAACACGATACATTACATGTATTTTTAGGTGTTTTTAATTCAGTTCCTTATTTTGGGGACTGAAAACATGACGGGCAATAAATTTTAACAATGTTCTTGTCCCAGATTTATCTAACTTGTTTATCTGTGATGCAGGAGAAGAACTTGTAAGTTGCAAGGACTTGTTTCTGATCCTTTTGTGTTAAACAATAAAATATGTTCAAATCATCTGTGATGCTAATTATAAAATAAATAAACTTGATTTTAGTGACAATACTGTCAATAGAAAAGAGATATAACTAATCTAAGTGAGATCAACTAATTTTCTCAGAATTTTTTCTAGCTTCAAATTTACAGACATGAGTCATGATTGCATTTGAAACTCTCTGGATTTTTCTCAGTAAATGCTTTGAGTTCAAGTTATAGCCAATTTATTTTGGAACGAATTTTATAGTTTAACCGGGTCCACAGACAATAGCATTTTAACGATAGTACGTTTTATCTAGGTTTACTAGTAAAATTCATATATATTATAGAATTAGCATCTTTTGTCATGTTTGTGTTGTCTTTTGAACACTGCCAAAATATGAACAGCAAGTCACCAATTAAGATTTGTACTCCTCAGTGTCTAAAACATACATTCACGACAGATGCATTCATAGAAAAACTATGTAAACCAACTTTCATTCATGAGTGATAAATATCTGCAGTTTTCTACATTCTTCTAATTGTGAATATTTCATTTTGGGAATCAATTATTCCCTTATTTACTTACGTAGATTGTTGTCTCAGTTGCAAAAATTAGAAGTCGGAAATATCCTATTTCAAAATCAAGAATAGCAATTAATTAAGAGATGTCACAAATAATAGTTGATATAAATATAAAAGGACTGGATTTTATTTTGTTTTCTTTGATAATTTGTTTTATATACAATGTAGTACAGTAAAAAAGAGGGTTGAACTGAAATGATTTGACCTTTCTATTAAATCTAAAATACATTGCATTGGGAATACTTGTTCAAATACAATGTTAAAGGTCTGGATTACTAAGAAATTTTTGTATGTTGGTGGCTAAAAGCATCCTTTAATATTTGTTCCCTATGGCTTTGGATGCCCTTAACAAGTTTGTATTTTCCCTATCAAAATGATTTTAGCCCTTTTACTTTTGTTCCCAACATCCTTTGATGTTCTTAAATAAGTTTCTTATTATCCCTATCAACACATTTTCTTCAGGTTGTTTTTGTTGCCTTTATAAGGTCAGATACTTTGACTTTTCTTTGGAAAATATCAACATGACTAATCTATTCTGTATATAGATTAATATTTTTTATGTCTTTTTTTAATGACAAATCTTCATATAACTTTACATAATTAAGTAAGTTGAATACATTTTTAAAAGAAGATGAACAAAATAATGTCTTTTGCATTGTTTTGACTACTGACATTGGGTCTGTGTATACGTAGCATTACACAGGAAGTCTGTGTTTGGTAATCTGACAGGGTCATCATTACATGTTTTGTGTCTGGTTTTGAGTGAAACTACGTAAAATATAAACTTAATGCGTTCATCGTAATCATGGTAATGTTTTGAAGGAAAAAAAATAATAAGATATATTTATATCGTTTTAAAAATGTTTTCCTTACATAAAAGAAAAAAATCACGAGTAAAAACTACAAATCAATAATATTCATCTGTCACCGTCATCGTAATCATGGTAATGTTTTGAAGGAAAAAAAATAATAAGATATATTTATATCGTTTTAAAAATGTTTTCCTTACATAAAAGAAAAAAATCACGAGTAAAAACTACAAATCAATAATATTCATCTGTTTCAATCTTCAATAAAAGAAATCTCTTGATTAAAAAAAGTCTGAATATTGAAATAAAAAAAAATATTAATCCACCTATCCGTCGTGCATGTGAACGTGCAAGTTTACCGCGATCGGAATGTTTTTTTTTCCCTGGCCAACAATGTTGTCCAAAATATTCCATATTTTTGATTCTTCGTACATGAAAGAGATTGACGCGTGACCAGGTAATTGTTTTTAAAACATGCAAACTCAGATTATCAGGTAGCACAGGTAGCAGATCTGTCAATCAAATCAGAAGCTATTGTTTTTTTTTTATGACTGACAGGTGGTAAATTATTGATCTTGAATCAGGTAGATTTTGGGGGCGTTAACATAAAATTGGGTGTTTAAAGTTATTTATTTTCATCATTATCAACAGTACTTGGAAAAAAATCTAAGACTTGCAAGTGATTTACACACAAGTAACATTCAACCCTTATTCTAAAAAAAAAAAAATTCCTAATTTTTACACTTTTCATGTTTGATTTGACACAATCAATCAAGGAAATAAACTTTCTAGCTAAATAATTATATATACCATCTTATATAGGTGCCTTATTGTGAATAATTTATTGAAATCACACATTCATACCTACAGAGTAGAAGTGTTTCAGTTCGATTACCAGTAGTTAATATTATGATAACAAGTATGTGAACATTCAATGAAAAAAAGTGAATGTCTGTATTTTTGAATGATGATATATAAAAGAACATGATAATATTAGGAGCTGATCGAGTTAGAAAAATTAGAAGAAATTTTTTCAATAAAATGAAGAAAAATATAGTTGCAATTATGAATAAAAGAAATATAATATGATGATAAGACCTTTAATAATTTTGATGCAAATGGCAAACTTTTAAAGATCTACAGTAAAACTCGTTTATAGCGAAGTCCTGGGAACCTGTGAATTTAATTCGCTATATCCGTAATTCGTTATATCCGAATAACGAATTCGTATAAGTGTATAGAGCGAATTTGTTTTCCTCCAAGTATTACAACCGAATATGGTAGGGAAACAATTATTACTAAACGTACCATGACTTACTGAGGTTTTCCATTACAAATTAAATTTCATTTGCAAATACTTACTAGAAATAAAGTCAGTTCAATATATCTACCTCTGAGATTTTTAAAAATTCATTATAAAAGATGTAAATCTTATTATTTTTAACCTTTACGGGACACAAAATCATTTCGCTATATCCGTGAATTCGCTATATCCG